GTATTGTGCGTAGAAGGTGCACGTCAAAGAAATCTCATCATTTTTTATAATTAAAATTAAGATCCACACTTAACTAAATATTTTAAAATCGAAAAGTTTAAGATTTTTTAAAAAACTTTATGTTTATTTTTAAATAGTACTTGTTAAAATCTAAATCTTTTTTTTAAGTTAAAACTTTTCAAAAATTGTGTTTCTTAAAAAAAAATTGCCATATATCCGTGATTTAGATAAGAGTTTTTAAAATACCAAGTTTTCTAAAAATCATTTTTACAAATATGCTATATTTAAACTTTGAATAAAAATTTAAATAAGATTTAAATTTTCAATATTCAAAAATGAAAAATACAAAATGTTACAGTATACATGAAGCCGAGTCAATACGTATATTAAATATATTTATGTATATATTATTGTTAAAAACGAGTTTTACTGTTTAATAATATAAAATTATGATTATTAAGAATATTAATATTTATTGATAATGTCTTACTTACGGCAAACTACAATATCAATTCCAGACGAAACTTCTGTAACAAGACTAAAACCAACTATAGTTCAATCATTGATTTAATTATTTGATGTTCCTTCATACCAAAATTAACAATTGCAAATTATTGAAAGTGTTGACATTGTGAATATCCTATACTAAAAAATAATAATAAAAACAATTTAATTATTTGTGTTTTCTAAATTATTATCAAAATAATTAAAAATGATTTCTATGGTCTTACAATAACAATTATTTTTCTGTAAATATTTTATCTAGTATAGGTACTAGAAAGGAGTCCTCAAAAATTAGCATTAACAATCCTGTAAGATGTAACTATGTAAGTTTGAAATTCAATATGTACTCTTAAGAAGTAATTTTTTATTTCATAAATAATGTGTAAATAACAGCTTTCGTGATATTTTCTTATTAAAAGATAAAAGTTAATAAAATGAAAAAAATATAAGATATTATTAGGGCTCAGAAGTTGATGACCTTAATAACATCAAATTTAATTTATTTAATAACAATATCTTGTACAATTTGTATCAAATCATAAAGCCTGAGTCCAGAAGTTTCTAACTAGGGAATAGAATCGGGTAGAGTTCCAAAGTTTGCGTTAATGTAAATTAAATTATGTTTTACATTATCATCGCTCATAAGATCCTGTGCTTTTTCAATTAATGTAGAATCATCTTTATTTAGACCCATAATAATAGTTTTTACTATTTCAAAATGTTCATAAAATTAAGTAGCAACTTTTAACCATATACCCCATCTTGTCGATACTGGTTGTGGTGGTAGAGAAATATTAGGTGCCATTTCCTAGAAATATTGAACACGTGATGGACATTTCAAAAATATTTTTTTGGTGTTCGATATTAATTGATCTACTTTTGGGAAGTGTTTTCGAATCTCTTCCGCAACTCTATGTAATCCATGGGCCGAACAACTTACGTGTTCAATTTTGGAATACAGGATTTTTATACCTCTGCCAGCTTTCATCATATAGGGAGCGGCATCACTTAAGAACAACAAAATATTGTCATGCTTTATTCCTTGGGTAAATATGTATCTAATAATTTGACGATAGAAGTATGGTGAGCTTTTTCTAAAATTGCTGAATGGAGCAAAAATATTTTTCCCAGGTTTCCGACTTCCAATGTACCGATAATTACGTTTGCCACATATCGTCCTACATCCTACTGAATCCGTGGTTTTGTCTGTAGAAACCCATAGCATTTGATTTTCGCAATAGCCTCTTATTTTGTTAATACAGTCTTCGTAACATTCAGCAACATAGGTTTTCCCTAGAGTTGATTCGTCAGGAATACTTTTGTGCGTGTATTTTTGTATTTTTCCAAAAATGTACGGAATAATTCATTTGATATTTTATGTAGAGGAATATTGGCTGATAGAAGAGCTTGACATAAATCGTAATTAAAAGTAGATTTTTTTGACGACGTAGTAAGAAAACTTTGACTTTATTTTAAATGTTTGCGCTCTATCCCATTTTTATGTTTTATACGGGAAATGTGTTGTTCAATAGTGAATTTTTTTTCTGAGGTCACCTTTACCTCACATACTTTACAGTAAAGAACTGTGCCATCGGAAAAAAAAATATCGTCGCCGAAGTCCGACACAAATGCACGCAGACGAGCACTAACCGGACGTATTAATTTTCGGCATTTCGAAAATATTACGAAAAAATAATAAAATGTAGATACAATATAATTTACTATAACACGAAAACGATGCGACGACTGTAATCGGTCAGATAAAATCGGATACTAATCGATTATTAGGAAACACGACAACGACAAAATGTAATCGACGAGATAAAATCGGATAGGTACTAATCTTAGTCCGTGGTAATTTCCAAGTTTTAAGTTATCGGCATAGACAAGAAACGATAAGAAGTGAACTAGTGTGATATCAATAAAAATGACTAAAAATGTCGAAAAATGACTTAATAGGAAAAAAGCCAAAAAATGCATAAAAATGCAAAATAAAATTTAGTTTTTCAGATTCACATGCTAATGACACACACAATTGTGGCCAGGAGAGCATCGTCTAAAAAGTTCCAAAAAAAAATGCAAAATGCCTCAACTTCCGAGCCCTAGATATTACGATAATGTAATTCAAATGACTAAGGGTTAGCATCTACTTAATTAACTTAAGTACAGAAAAATTAATAATATATTTTTCATTATTTGAATGTATTACAATATTAAATTAATACAATGTTGCTGCATGGTATTCTGTTATTTAGAGTAGAGTAAATTGTTAAACCTATATCTTAATCTTGTATAGTAATGGCAAGTTTATTATTTGTTTTTAATGATGGGGACATAACAAAACTTTGTTGAATTCTATTACATACACATTCAATACTTCAATAGTATTTCTTCTACCCACATTATAATTTTCGATTATTTAAAATTGTAAATTGTTGGTACATATTCAATTACAATATTCATGACTCGCTTTAAAATTAAAATATAATAAATAGCCCATGAGATACCCCAGACAATAATCTTACCGTTAAATTTCATAAGAGGTATTTTCACTCAAATTTTTTAACTAACAGAGCTAAACTTGATCTACTGAGCTTAAAATTTGCTATGTTCCAAACTTTTAAGACATGACAACAGATGTCCGTGTAATGTGTTCATAAAAAAATAAAATACATTTTATGCTCGATTCACTATTATAATAAATGGTTATCAGCCATAATCAACATTCTTTAAATATTTATTATTTTCCCTTTGATTTACTATAAATAACTTAATTCAAATTAAGAATAACTGATCAATATAAAAATATCATTATATTAAGAATAAATAAAATCAATTTTTTAAGGACTTATTTTATCGCAATCACACTGATTTTTCTACCCAAATCTATTCTCAAATATGGGATGAAAGAATTGTAAACATGGGCAAGTGTATATTTTTTTATTTATGAATAAAATTCATAAAGTTATGATAGGGGTTATGATAATCTATAAAATAAGTCAAGAAAATATAAATAAATAGTATTTATTATAAATTTGATTTTAAGAAGAAATAGTTTTAGTAGGTACACTCAATTAAAAAAAAACAGTACCCTACTTAACCCTGCGATAGGCATGTTGCGCACTTTTGAGCGCCATTCATCGTACATTTTTGATAGTATTATGGAGATAAATATTGTGTATAAGCCATAAGGTAATTACTTTCATCTACCTTCATTTTAAGTGCCAGTGAGCATTTTTAATAAATCACAATATTTTTCCCAGCTATTAGATTATTAGTTAAGTTATTTACAACTGCACGACAGTCCATAAAAAATGATTAAAAATTGTGTAATCATTGATCTATCAAATAATATCTTTCATATAATTTTAACTTTATACTGAATTATAAATTATAAACAGGAAATCTGTCTTTTTTTAAAAATTATTTGAAATACATAATACATTTAGTATTTTAGTATTAATTTATAATTCAAGTGTAAAGACTATTTTTTTTTGTTAATAAATGTATTACCTTTTGGGAATTGTTATAGGTACTTCATACCAGGAGCGGATACAGCCTACATTAACGGGAGGGGTGGATTATAAATATCTAAATATATTTACTATTTAGCTACTGGTAAATACAAGTATATATTTATATATATATATATATATATATAATAAATATGGAATAATTGATTATTAATTTTAATGAATATTTTTTTTTCTTAAGATGAATTCAGAATGCTTTTATTGAATTATCGGTCATAATATTGTTGTCAACCATTTATAAATATGTGTTATTAAAATAAAATACGACGATTAGTGACTGAATAATATTACAATACATTAACATAGGATAACGCAAAATATTAAATTTATTATTACAGCCAAATGGGGGGGGGGGGGGAATTCGCCCCTGCTTCATACATAATTTATATTTTACTATAATTATGGTGATTATTATTATAAAGCCTATTTTACTTATTTAATTATAGTTATAAAATTGAAATAAATAAAAAAATTGATTGATGCACTATAGATACATCTGGCGCTTGATAGTGCGCTGCACCACGCACCTACGAGTGTTTAAAAAATATTTAGTGCCCACTGCAAGGTTAGGTCACCGTGACAACAAAAACATTGGAAAAAACATTTTACTGTGCATCCAGATAAAAACATATTTATTTTACTACAAAACTGAAAATTCTTACACACCAATTGTTTTAATTAAGAAAATTTTAGTTAGAGTTTTTACTACAACATTTATACTATTAGAATATTAGGTATATAATATGTATATCTATTTTTTTTACCTGTTCTGTATGGAAAAATGAGCATCTAACCAAGTCACCATATCATACTATTTTTAACAAAGATTCCCATGAGCCAGTAATCAGTCACACATCTTTTACCATCATTTATACCCTGAAAAAAGTATAGGTAAAAAAGAAATTAATTTATAAACTATTAGGTATATATTTACATAAAAATAAATATTGTTTTTACTTATTCGACTGATTTATCTTTTTGTGTGGTGCAAACTACATGTGTAACACTGATAAACAATGATTCTGTTCAACTGATCCACCATGTTTAATAATATTATCCTTGGATATTATTGTATTAATACACACATTAAAATTGTCATGGCGAATTTGGTCTTCGACAAATAAGACTACGCATCCTAAATGAAATTGTTTGGTAAATACCATGAATCAAAAATAAATAGTTTAGTTGTTGTTTGGTGATTGAATTGTTGAATGCAAAAGAAAATATAATACTATGATTACATTTTTCTTACATAGATGTATGTGAATTCAAATATTAATAAATTAAAAATATTTACTTCAGCGTTTTTATTTCTTCAACAGTTGTCCAATGTTACTCGAGCGCTAGGATCATTTTTTAGTTTGAGCAGTGTATTTTTTAATACCAATGTACCGCAATGTGGGCATGTAAGTGATCTTTGAACATAAAAAAATTAATTTTATAAATAGTAAGTTCATAACAAGTAAATTTAAAGTAATGTTTTGGTGAATTCCAACAAATGTATCATCTCAGATTTTCTGAACAAATAAACAGTTACAATTTTGAAAGGCACTATCACTAACAATTACACTAAGAGTTAATGGTAACCTGAGATGTAAATTATAATTTATTAGTGATTACGATGTACAAATGTTTTTATAATATTATATATTAATACGACGAAAATTAATACAAAATGCGTTTTATTATTTAAACATAAAGAATTCTCATGATTATTACTTCGAGGATTCCCTGCAGCACGATGGAGAATTCAAGATATATTGAGTTACGGAGTGATTTGTCATGACAATACTGTAGTAATAAAAGTTATCTCAAACATGGCTATCATCAATTAAAAAACAACCAAAAAAAACTGTCATTAGTATGTTATAGATTACCAAAATTAAAAAAATTTACAAAATGAATCGCATTGTAAAAAGAACCTCTGCTCAATTAATATTGTAAGCTAATTAAATTTAAAAGCATTAAATTATAGTCATACCGATTATAAT